CTGATTCAGCACTGTTCGAAATGTTTCCGAACCTGCCTGAAGTAATTCAGCACATCCCGAAGCGATTCCAACCTTCGTGAGGCAACTCAGTACTCTCCAAGTGATTCTAAACCCTTCTGAAGTGAATGAAATTTTTCCAAAGTGACTACGAACACCTTTGAAGTAACTCAACACATCCCGACGTGATTTCAAACATTTCTGAAGTGATTGCAGACTTCTCTGAAGCGATTCAGTACATTTTGAACTGATTCAGTACGTTCTGAAAGTTGCTCCGATCCTTTCTGATGCGACTCACCGCTTTTCGAAGTCATTCCGAACTCTTCTGAAGTGGCCAAGCATCTTCCAAACTGATTCCAAACTGCCCTGAAGCGATTCAGTACTTGCCGAAGTGACTCCGAACCACTCTGACTTTTCGGAGTTATTTCGAATCATTCTGAAGTGGCTCAGCATCTTCAAAACTGACTTCAAAAATCTCCGAAGTAATTAATTAATTTAGCTTTATTTAGGAGGCTTTCAGCCTTAGGCTGGTTCGCCTCCAAATCTCCGAAGTAACTCAGTACATTCTGAAGTGATTCAGCACTTTCCGAAGCGACCCGAACCTTTCTAAAACGATTTAGTACATCCCAAAGTGACTCCAAACTTTTCTGTTGTGTTCCTGTGTGTTCTAAAGTGATTCAACATTTTCCAAAGTAACCCCAAACCTTGCAGACGTGTTTCAGCACCTTTCAAAGTGATTTTCATAATTGCGGAAGTGATTTCAAACGTTTCAAAATTATTTCAAACATTCGGAAATGATTCACCACGTTCCGAAGTGATTACGAATTTCTCTGAAGTGACTCAGCAAATCCCGAAGCAACTCCGAACCTTCATGACACAACTCAGCACCATGCAAAGTGATTTCAACACCTTCCGAAGTGATTCAACTTTTCCAAAGCGACTCAACACATCTCGAAGTGATTCCAAACCTTTCGGAAGTAATTCAGCACTTCCTTAAGTGATTTCAAACTTCTCCGCAGTTATTCAGTACTTTCCAAAGTAGCTCCGAACTTCCCTGAACCTACTCAGCACTTTCCGAAGTGATTCCGAACCCTTCTGAAGAGACTTAGAACCTTCCAAACTGATTCAGGACTTCTCCGAAGTAACTCAGTACTTCCAAAGCGATACTATTCAGCACATTCCGAAACAACTCCAAACCTTCCTGATGTGACTCAGTACCTTTCAAAGTGTTTTCTAGGTGTATCTAAATTATTCAAAATCTTTCAAAGCGATTCCGAACCATTCTAAAGAGAATCAGTGCATCCCAAAGTGACTCCAAACATGGCTGATGTGACTCAGCTCATTTAAAAGTGAGTTATAACTTTTCTGAAGCTTTTTTAGAAGTGACTACGAAACCCTTTGAAGTAATTCAAAAAGTCTCGAAGGGATTCCAAACCTCTCTGAAATAATTCAGCACTAGCTGAATTGATTACAAGCTTCCCGGAAATGATTTAGAACTTTCTGGAATGATTCAGTACTTTCCGAAATGACTCAGAATCTCAGTACTTTTCAAAGTGAGTTATAATTTTTTTGAAGTGAGTTAGCTTTTTTCGAAGTCAATACGAACCTCTTTGAAGCAACTCAACAAATCCCGAAGTGATGTCAAACCTTTCTGAAGTATATAAGCACTTTCTTGAATAAATCAAAGTGCTCAAATTAATTCCAACCTTTTCGGAAATGATTCAGTACGTTCTGAACTGATTCAATACTTTCCACAGTGGCTCCAAACCTCTTTCAAGCGACTTCGCACCTTCCGGAGTGACTCAGCACTTTTGAAACTGATTCCAAACTTCTCCGCAATGAGTTAGTACAGTCAGAAATGATTCAGCAATTTCCGAAGCGACTTCGCACCTCTCTGAAGTGATTCAGCACAGACGACTCCGAACCTGCCTGAAACGAGAGAACTCCAAACCTTCCTGATGTGACTCAGTACATTTGAAAGTTATTTCTAGCTTTTCCGAAGTATTTCCAAATCGTCCGAGTGGTTCCGAACCTTGCTGAAATGACTCAGTACATCCCAAAGTGACTTCAAACGTTGATGATGGGGCTCAGCTCTTTTCAAAGTGAGTTCTAACTTTTCTGAAGTGACTCAGCTTTTACTGAAGTGCCTTCGAAACTCTTTGAAGTGATTCAACACATCCAGAAGAGATTCTAACCGTTTCTGATATAATTCAGCACTTTCTGAAGTGATTTCAAGCTTCTCCGAAGTGATGCAGGACTTTTTGAAGTTATTGGGGACTTTTTGAAGTTATTGAGGACTTTTTGAAGTTATTCAGGACTTTCTGAAGTTATTCAGGACTATATGAAGTTGTTCAGGACTTTCTGAAGTGATTTCAAAACTTCCATGAAACGACTCCGCACTTTCCGAAGTGATTCCGAACCCTTCTGAAGTGACTCAAAACCTTTCTAACTGATTTCAAACTTCTCCGAAGTGATTCAGCGCTTTCCGAAGCAACTTCTAACCTCTCTGAAGAGATTTAGCACTTTCCAAGACGACTCAGAACCTGCCTGAAACTATTCAGCACATTCCGAAAGGACTCCAAACCTTTTTGATGTGCCTCGAAATGAATTCCAGATTTTTCGAAGTAATTCCAAATCTTCTGAAGTTATTCCGAACCTTTCTTAAATGACTCAGTACACCCCAAAGTGACTTCAAACTTTCCTGATGGGGCTCAGCTCTTTTCAAAGAGAGTTCTAACTTTTCTGAAGTGACTTAGCTTTTACCGAAGTGACTTCGAACCTTTTTGAAGTGGCTGAACAAATGCCGAAGCGATTCCAAACCTGTCTGAAGTAATTCAGCACTTTCTGAAGTGATTCCAAGCTTCTACAAAGTGATTCAGGATTTTCTGAAGTGATTCCAAGCCTCCCTGAAGCGACTTCTCACTTTCTGAACTGATTCCGAACCCCTGTGAAGTGACTCAGAAGCTTCCTAACTGATCCGAAGTGACTCCGTACTTTCAGAAGTGATTCAGCACTTTCCGAAGTGACTTCAAACCTTTCTGAAGAGATTCAGCATTTTCTGAGACTACTCAGAGTCTTCCTGAAACTATTCAGTATATTCCAAAAGGACTCCAAACCTTTTTTAATGTGTCTCAAAGTTATTTCTAGCTTTTTCGAGGTAATTCGAAATCTTCCGAAGCGTTTCCGAACCTTGCTGAAGTGAGTCAGATCCTTCCTAACTGATTTCAAACTTCTCCAAAATGACCCAGTACTTTCGAAAGTGTTTCAGCGCTTTCCGAATCGACTTCAAACATCTCTGAAGAGAGTACGTCCCAAAGTGACTTCTAACTTTGCTGATGAGGCTCAGATCTTTTCAAAGTGAGTTCCAACTTTTCTGAAGTGACTCAGCTTTTACCGAAGTGCCTTTGAACCTTTTTGAAGTGACTCAACAAATGCCGAAGCGATTCCAAACCTGTCTGAAGCAATTCAGCACTTTCTGAAGCGATTCCAAGCTTCTTCAAAGTGATTCAGGACTTTCTGAAGTCTGAAGACTTTACGAACCTCCCTGAAGCGATTCTGCACTTTCCGAAGTTATTCCGAATCCTTCTGAAGTGAGTCAGAACCTTCCTAACTGATTTCAAACTTCTCCGAAGTGACCCAGTGCTTTCAGAAGTAATTCAGCGCTTTCCGAAGCGACTTCAAACCTCTCTGAAGAGATTCAGCACTTACCGAGATGACTCCGAACCTGCCTGAAACTATTCAGTACATTCCGAAAGGACTTCAACCGTTTTTGATGTGATTCAATGTGATTTTTAGCATTTTCGAAGTAATTCCAAATGTTGCGAAGTGATTCTGAACCTTGTTGAAATGACTTAGTACATCCCAAAGTGACTTCAAACCTTGCTGATGGAGCTCAGCTCTTTTCAAAGTGAGTTCTAATTATTCGGAAGTGACTCAGCTTTTACCGAAGTGACTTAGCACCTTTTTGAAGTGGTTCAACAAATCTCTAAGTTATTCCAAACGTTTCTGACGTAATTCAGCACTTTCGAAAACGATTCCAAGCTTCTCCGAAGTGATTCCGGACTTTTTGAAGTGATTCAGGACTTTCCGAAGTAATTCAGAACCTCCCTGAAGCGATTCTCAGTCAGAACTTTCCTAACTGATTTCAAACCTCTCCGAAGTGGCCCAGTACTTTCAGAAGTGAGTTTCAGACCTTGCTGAAATGACTCAGTGCATCCTAAACCAAAGTGACTTTAAACTGCGCACTTTGTTTTTTTAATCTTCTTCTATATATATAAAAATGAATTTCTGTCTGTCTGTCTGTCTGTCTGACCCTTATAGACTCGGAAACTACTGAACCGATTGGCGTGAAAATTTGTATACAGGGGTTTTTGGGGCCGTGGAAGGTTCTTATGATGGTTCGAGACCCCTCCCCCTTCTGTAAGGGGGGGGGGGGCTCCCATACAAATGAAACAGAAATTTCTGCATAACTCGAGAACTAATCAAGCAAATGGAACCAAATTAGGCATGTGGGGGCGAGTGTGGGGGTATAAGGAGATAATCATAGGGGGTAGCCCCTTAGATAATAGGGGGGGGGGCTACGTACAATATAGCATGCTTTTTTTTAAATCGGCGCATAAGCTCAAGCTAATATTGAATCCCGAGCAAGACCGGGCACACTCAGCTAGTTTTAAATAAAAAAAAACGCAAAAAATTGAGAAACGGTTGGTCATTCCGTATACAAATTAGGGCTTTTTTTTTTTAATTGTGAATGGAACTCAACGAAGACTGCATTTTTTTAAATCTTAAAAGAATGTAGACCCATTTTTTCATGTCACAAGCATTGCAGTTCAAATAAACTCAGTTTGACTGTTGGATCTACTGGTTTCCACAAATAAGCGCAATTTCAAAATCACTTGTCCGATATTTGAAATAATTAGGCAAGGAGGGTACGGAGTGAAATATGATTCCCGGTGTAAAATTTGAAACCAAACATAGGATAAAGTTTTCTATAAAACAGTTACCGAACGATTTGAAGTATCGAAGTTCAGCCCATGTTTGCGCACCTGAAATGGAGAAAACAGAAAACGTTATTAGTATATTTCGAAATACAATTGAAAACAAGAACAACTACAACAGTCGGTAAACAGTCAACCTAAGCAGGAAATATATATTCTACGCTGGACTGAAGAACAAGTGCTTTATGTGTAAAGTCGAAAAAATCTGCCCGATTGCGGCGAAACCATGGAGAATTAAGCATCGGATGAGAGTTTCCAATGGAATTACGTTGGAATCTTTTTTTACATCAATTAATCATGCGAATATTATACAAGAAAGTCTCACAGAACTAGATTTATTATATTTTATCGACCAACTTCAGTGGATGCCTAATGGAACAACTGAGCAGTTCCAGGCCAAATAAAGAAAAAGTAATCAAATTTTAGATTTTACCTCTCAGAATTCCATGAAACTTCGCAAGTTTTGACTCTCGCCTAATTTTTCAAAATTCCGTATTTGATATTTTTCAATAAATCATAGCACGAAAACGGTTCATCTAATCGAAATAACGCCTGAGGCAAAGTTGTAGGAACCTGAATTGGCTTTCTTCGATTTGTATGAAATTTTGCCTAATCGTTTGTTATGGACAATGATTCACATTTTTGCTTAAATTCGGCCATTTTGGACCTAGCTAAAAGTTCAAAATGACGTTTAAGAAATTAAAAAAAATAGCACGAAAACGGCAATTCTGATGTTGTTGATGATATTTGTGACATTTTAAATAGTTTTCTGTGAAAAAATAAACACAAAAGCGCACTGAAAAAAAGTTTATAAATTTTTTATAACAAGTTCATATTTTACGATTTTTGTCAGTTTTGAAGTGTTCATAAGCTTTTTCTTGAAATAAAATTTTCAAAACCGGGCAAGGACATTTTGAGATATTTAGGTTTTAAAAAAGAAATCATCTAATTTTGACTCAAAATTAAAAAAAAAAATGGATATTTTTTCAGAAAAAAAACATTATTTTTACGACTTTTTCGTAGACATGATTTCGATCAGAAATACCGTTTGTGAGCTAATTTTTTTTTTTAATTCAAAGACGCCGTTTGAAAAAATTAAGATCCACAAAGGCCACATTTTAGCAAAAATCGGAGAAAGTACATTCAAAATTTCAATTTGGTTTCGCTATTTTGCCTGGAACTTATCAATTTTAGAACTCCAACAACTACGAAAATCGAAGCAGCTTTTCCCAATAAAATGTTGGTAACATCATTGGGAAAATGCGACCATTTTGCCGGCCTTTTTTTCCCACGGCAGACACAGAAACACCGAACCATTAAATAAGCTAGGATCTCGCACAAATGAAGGCGATGACGATGATGATGACGATGATGCTATCCAACTGAACAAGAGCCCTCCACAGAGTAATGAAATTGAATGAAAGCAAAACCTTTCAACCCTTCTTTCTGTTGGTGCGGATCGATCAGAGTTCGATTTGAATAGCAGAAATAAAAATCTCGTTTTCAAGGAGGATTAGCCTACAACTCGATTGGATGAGAAGAGTCGAGAGGGTAGATCGGAAAATGACGGGACCGTAGTTGGATAATATTTACATTTTACAATAGCTACACGCCATACTCGATGGGTGAGGCGAGAGGGTGGTGGTGGGTGGAGAGATTCGGCTCGTTTGAAAATGAAGTGCCGAGCTGAATTTTATGGCACGATCGAGCTGATTAGATGAGTACGGAAGAACTGACACGAAGAGAACTGGCGAACAGACTCTTTACCCGGCAAAAGGTCGGTTGGTAGATGGAAAATTGTGATGACTGCATCGTTCTGGCTTAGACTGGTTCATCTTTTTAATTTAAGAAAAAAATCTAATTCGACCCTACACAGGAAACACTTATTCTCCATCCCACCGTAGAATGTCAGAACCCACCTTGACGAAGTTGATTAAATCGAAATCGCCCGTGAACCAGTCTAGCGGTGGCCCCTTTCCACCCTGAGTTTATCAGTGCAATAAAGGGAATAGAGAGTACCGAGCGAATGGTGGTAGGAGCTTGGTTAATTAATATTGCAGAGATACTTTGCTGCAATTTAACGACTCTTTCCCTCTCCCGCGCTACTCCGTCTCCCGGACTCACCTCGGACGATGACAATCATGAGTCAGATAAAGAAGGGTCGAGGCCAGGGGTCTCCCTGGTGGAGAAGACGGAGATTTGCAAATTGTGCAAAACTGTGAACGACCGAACGGCCGACTCGCCAAAGGGACGCTAATAGGCCTATAAATGGCCATTCGCGATATCGTCGGTCGTCGCCGTTGTGTTGTAATTATTACAGCCGGGAATTGTTTGCGCCGTGGCGTAATTACTACGACGATTGTGATCGTTGGGTGTGGGGTTGGATCTTGGAGAATGGGTTTGATCGATTTTTCAGTTCATAATACGCGGAAGTTGTGAATGGATTGAAGATTTGATGCTGGATTATCTTTCTTGATATGTGAGGGCTAAATTGTTCGCAGAGGGCAGTATTGCTCTTTGCGTGCCTCACTTCATGGCGCAGGAAACTACTTCTAATATTCTAGGTCTGACTTTTAATTTCCCTAAATTTGCACCTTATGACCGTTGGATTTAGCTGAAAAGTACTTCGCATGTATCTTCGAAGTCTATCGAAATGAATGAGAGTCACCGAAATAGAATGTGATTTGAGGTGTTGTAAGACGGGACTTGGTCCAACTTAGAAACTGGTCTCTTCCCTGGGGGCATCTGGAACATGGCCGGATGTGGTCCTGGGTACTCCATACGACTACCATCGTTAAGAAGGAGTTATGATTTCCTTGCTTTAATCAGCATGTTACTTTTCCGGCCTTATATTCTTAGAACTTTTTGAGCATCTAAAAGTGATATAACTTTGGACTGGATTTTAAAGAGATCAAAGGTCAAATGACCAAATGATCGAAATGGAAGGAAGGCCAAATGGACTTAGCTGGAGCTTAAGCTTGAGTAGCCTAACTGAAATACTCGAAAGCTATTTCATGTCATGTCACTGTCAAATGATGGTTCTAGAAATTTTTAGAAACTTTCAATGGGATTTCAAGAATGTTTCTTAAAATTTCATATCGGGGTTGTAGGACAAAAGGTCGAAGGAGAAAAGAGCGAACGCTCAAAAGATCGAATGATCGAATTAAACCTAGAGGAACAAAAGGTCGAATGGACGAAAAGGTCAAAATGGACAAAAAGTCGAATGGACGAAAGGTCGAAGTGGACAAAAGGTCGAATTTAACAAAAGATCGAAATGAATAAAGTGGTCAAATTGTTGAAGGATAAAATGGGTGCCTAAGTCAAAGATATTTTCCTCTCCATTCACTGGAGCATCTTCCTGTTGGATGGCTCATTATCTGACCAACTGTCCCAAGGAATCGAATAGGCGAATTACCTATCAATCCATCCATTCGTTTTTGGACAGTGATTTGCTGATGACAATCAGAGGTTGTTAAGCTTGATCAATTTCAAGGAGGAGAGCCCACAGCTATTGGACTAGTTTCTGTGCTGCAATGAGTCGTAGACCACTATCATCATACTAAGTCTCAAATATTTTCCTTCTTTAAGTAACTGCGCAAATTAAGAGTCTTTCTCTAGAATATATCCCATCTTTAAATCATGAGGTCTTGGGAGTAATTGCATATTTAAAAAAAAAATATTTTAAACTCTGAGCGAAAATTTTCTAAACAACATTTTATCAATTTTGATGTTGATATTTTTTTATTTCTGTCCACATCAACTTTTTGTCGATTCGACCTTTTGTTCCTCTATGTTAAATCCAACCTTTTGTCCAAATGACGTGTCTCTCTAAGTTCAATTCGACCTTTTATCGCTCTATGTTCAATTTATCCTTTTTTTCTTTTCGACCTTTTGTCCTTCGACCTTTTGCCTTTCGACATTTTCTCATTGATTCAGATCTGGGAACTTATTAATTGAAGTTAAGTTTATGTAACTTCCTATGGAAAAGCTCAGAAAAAATGCTACATGAAGCTCCAGGAACTTTCGAGGGGAGATTCCATGAACTTTTTAGCGAAAATTCTGGCAAGTTTCTAGAAGATGTTCTGAAGATTCTGAGATGTTCTGGTAACTTGCTAGCAGGCATCTTTCAGAAGGAAACTTTCAAGAATTTCTAAGGGGCGAATAAATACTAGGAATTAGTGTTTCCATTTGCCGGTCTTTGTAGGTTACCCAGGAATCGGGAACCTGCTGATGGCTCTTCCCAAGGCTTTCCAGGAATCGGGAAATATGTTTGTCCAGTGACCAAATTTTTAGGTTTATCAGAATGTTCACTTTTCATCTTCTGTTGAACGATCCACGAAAAATTCTGGCTTCTCCTGAAATTGGCTTTCGCAGCTTCCCAAGAAGTGTTTTCCGACATCTCTCGGAAGTCTCCTCTGACATCGCTCGAATGTTTCTTACAAATATTTTTCCCGGAAACTTCTTACAACTTCATGTTGAATAAAGAGAGAGGAGAGAGAGAGAGAGAAGGATTAGTAATTTCCATTTAATTCCATTACCTTATTTGCTTAACCTTGACAGATACGCGTATTTCGTCTACAATGTGCAGACTTCTTCAGTGTCTTGTACTAATACTCGACTACAAGACACTGAAGAAGTCTGCACATTGTAGACGAAATGCGCGTATCTGTCAAGGATAAGCAAATAAGGTAGGGGAATAAAATGGAAATTACTAATCCTTCTTTCTCTCTCTCTCTCTTTTTTTCTCTCTCTCTCTCTTTAGAGAAAGCTTATCGAACCACATTCCGGTAGTTACGTGCTACCAACTAGCCTTGGAAAATGCTCTAGATTTCCCCGCCAAACTTTTTCCGGCATTGCCCGTTATGATATCGCCTGTGAGAGCTTGTCTGTTGACTTCCTCTCGTAAGTTTCGTCCGGCTGTTCCCGCTGAATACAGGAGGTTTTTTTTTCAGCTTTCGTAGTCTTATTTCAGTTTTTTCAACTTCTCTCCCACAGGTTTTGTTTTTTGGGCTTCCACTGAAGGTCTCACCAAATTTTCTCCGAATATT